AATAAATAAATAAATAAATAAATAAATAAATAAATAAATAAATAAATCTAACTGGACAATCGCTATCCAGAAAATCTGCTGAATTTGTGTTTCTTAATAATAACTACAAAGATGAAAATATATCTAAATAAAATCTGAGCTAATTTGACTTTTTAATAAAACTGACCTCATTTAGTGGCAGTAAAATCTTTCTTTTGGAGCATAAATGATGACATTACATTTGATCTGAGTCTGTACAGCTAAACGGCTTTCAAACAATATTATGGTATTCTGACACAGAAATAGCACTCCCACTTAACTTTTATGACATTTTCTATCATTTACACCAAGTTCATAGAGTCTGGTTGAGGAAAGGTTGTCAACTCTGTCAACAGGATGAGTGCTGATTCATAACAGTTTACCAACACATTAAATATGGATGAAAGACTGCAGAGAAGGGGAGTATTCAAATACCTTTACAGTGACAATATGCAATTATATCCCAATATTTAAGCTTTCAGTCTGTAAAGCATAAATCTTTTAAGTCCACTTTGACACCACTGGTTTGTAAATTATTAAAAATGCTCACCACAAGTCCGAAAAATCTTATTAAATCAAAGTAAAGAAATGTAAGTATTTCAGAGGGTGGGCGTTGAGAGTCACCCCCTGGGAGCTTTTCAGCATTATCTCTCTATGTAAACACAACAGACCCACTATAAACGCTACCTGGAGCTGAAAGCCAGGCTCTTCCCCACTCTTCTCAGACAGCTCTTCACTTTTTGTTCTTCAGCTGATTGGCCAGCCAGTCCAGGCCCTCGTAGAGGCCGTCCCCGCTGGTGGCACAGGTGGCCTGGATGTACCAGTTGCGGTGACGTAAGGAGTGTAGGCCCAGCTTGTCTGTGATCTCTGCAGCGTTCATGGCATTGGGCAGATCCTGAATAGAAATCATACAGCAACAACAGAGCCTCAGTCAGCATTCCTTCAGTGTAAAACATGTAGACCGGAATATGGGGTACGAAAGTGAATGGGAGACGCACCTGTTTGTTAGCGAAGACGAGAAGAACAGCGTCCCGGAGCTCATCCTCAGCCAGCATCCTCATTAATTCCTCACGAGCTTCGTTGACCCGCTCGCGGTCGTTGCTGTCTACCACAAAGATCAAACCTGCAGGGGACGAGAACGAGCGGTGGCACTTAGTGAGAGTCAGACGCGAGCTCCTCTCTACCAGAGCTAGTTTGCTAATCCCAACAACCGGACTGGACCAGGCCTCGTAACCC